TGTCACGTGTCAACTGTTCGTCCAGAGTCACGTCACGCCTCAGTTATTCATCCAGAATCCCGTTGCATCACACCTGATCATCCAGAGTCATGTCACGTCCTGTCTGTCACACCCAGATTCTCAAGGTCAGTCCTTCGGTATCCCAGTCTGGTATCCAGTGTGAGGGATGCACCGCTGGTGTCTGCACGCACCGCTGGTATCCCCAAACCCACTCACTCTAACCCTTCTATTCATGAACTCATTCCCCTGTCTGCAGCACTTCCCATATGGGGGGTTGCTTTATGGTGTATCTGTACTCCACCGCCGATTTGCTAGAGGCAGCAGCACCGGCTACAACATCTCCAGAGGTGGCGGCTTACGCTACAGAACCTCCCGAGGTAGCGGTATCCACTGCTGTGCTCCCAGAAGCCATGGTGTCCACTGTAGTCTCTTATTCACTACAAAACACCCACTCTAACCACCTTTCTCTGAGTATTGTTTAGCCTGTACCCCTTTCAGAGTCTCCGTGTTTTCCTTGTTTTGCCTTGCCTGTTTCTGCGGTATCTGATCTTTGCCTGTTTTCCTGGATTTCTCCCTCTCGTCTTGCCCCTGTGATTCTGTCTGCCGATCTGTGACCTACGCTAGCCCTAGGACTATTCTTGTGTTTTTGCCCACCATATACCTGTTTGCCATTGTTCGACCCTGCCTGTTATACCACGTCTCTTTGAATAAAGCTTGCAGATGGATCCACACGTCTCACGTCTCGTCAGCCCCGTTACACTCCACAAGGCATTACATTTTAATAAAAGATTATGAAGACAAAACATGTCTTTTCTTTGGAATAACATGCACTAAATAATACAATAAGACCAGAAACAAGCATTAAGAAAATAAATAAATAAGGTCAAAAAACAAACACATTCACATTTCATATTGACATTATGCCTGTTACGTCTGGCTAAATATAACCCAGCTGTCCAAAACTGAGACATGCTTAAAACAACAGCAAACACACACTGTGAATAATAGAAATGTGCAAAAGAGGTAGCTTTTCTAACAGCCCCTCTGGGCACGACAGGCATGTCAGAACAGCAGCGGGTTTGAGTTTCGGACTGACCCTATGCCACCTGGGCTGCCCGTATGGAAACACTCCGGGAATCACAAAATGGAGCAGCAGCTTAGCTCAAAATAAAATGAAAGAGACTAAGTAACCATGGCAATAAGTGATGGATTTGGAATCTCTTTTGGAAGTAAAAATATATCTCAGGGTGTACCTGTGACTGCTGCGAAATCTCTCTCTCTCTCTCTCTCTCTCTCTCTCTCTCTAACCCCTAGTCTCTCAGTCCTTCCACCTCTCAAGTGTGGTGAATTACTCGTTTTTTCCCACCAGCTATTCAGTAATTTTAAAATAGATCTAAACGATGCCTTCTCTGTCTTCCCCACTGATGCAACACGATGATGAGGATCTCGTCAAAATGCACTCAATGCGTCGGATGCAAGACATTGTGCAGCTCTTCAAAAGGAAAAAAAAATCTCCCCCACAAATTTTATTTCTAGGTCAAAAATTCCCATGGGGTTTTGAAACACAGATGAAGTGAAACACAAATTCAAGCGAGCCTGAGCCACGCCAGAGCTCACAGAAAGAGATGGAGGAGAGAGAGAAAGAGAGACAGAGAGAGATAGAGAGAGAGAGAGACAGAGAGAGAGAGAGAGAGAGAGAGAGAGAGATACAGAGAGAGAGAGAGAGATGCAGAGAGGCAGAGAGAGAGAGGCAGAGAGAGAGAGAGAGAGAGAGACAGACACAGAGAGAGAGCGAGAGAGAAAGACAGAGAGAGAGAGAGAAGAGAGACACACAGAGAGAGAGAGAGAGAGAGAGACAGACACAGAGAGAGAGCGAGAGAGAAAGACAGAGAGAGAGAGAGAGAGAGAGAGAGCGAAAAAAATCAAATTTAAATTATAATTAATTATTAATCATACATTAATTTTTAATTAATCACACTAAACCAGTTATTTTTATATAATAAATAAAAAATATTAAAATGTATTTATTTTTTAAATAATAAATAAATTTATTATTAATTATTAATCACAGATTAATTTTTAATTAATCACACTAAACCAGTGGTTCTCAATGAGAGGGTTTTTTAAAGTATTGAAATTAATAATTATTATTAATTATTTAATTATTAATTATAAATTATTATTAATACATTAAAATTGCCAAATTAAAAAATAAAGTCTAAATTAAATTAACATCTAAATTAAAATTCTAAGAAATGCATAAAATCAAGATATATATACATACATATTTCTTTTATTTTCCCTGAATAACTATTGCTTTTACTGAAGAACAGTACAGTTCTGGAATACAATACAGAACATAATTTCCATATTAATTGACCAAATTAATAAAAAAAAAACAGTTTGAAAACAAGCAGATTTATCATAATTACAGCAGAAATATTGGAAATTAACTTATATAGGCAGGGGCTTCAAATATTGTGTTTGGGGGACATTTGGGTGCCTTCAAGTCATAAAGGTTGAGAACCACTGCACTAAACCAACATATGAAACCGACAATATATTTTAGATTTATAACGATTATTTTAATAGAATGAATCATTTATGTTAGTCTTCCAGTTGTGATCTGTTTACCTGCTGAATATGAAGCAGGGTGTGTTGTTGAGCTGTTGGTCAGTCTGATATCTCCGGAAGTCCTCCCAACCGTCTTTAACAGCGGTCAGTGCCAGGATGACACATATGGGAATGAGAGCCACCTCCGGCTGGAACGCGTTCACCACCGGGACGAAATTCAAGATGGCCAGGCCCACAAAGTAAATGTTGGCCATACGGTGGAACTGCTCGAATAAGTTCATGGGGATGAAAGACCACAGTCTGTATTTGTTGGTTTTGATGGCGTTGTCCTCATACCGGCGGTTCGGCTGCTCACGTTTCTTCAGATCTTCGAAGGGTAAGTTGGAGACCACCGTCCTGACGGGTCTGTCTGGGTTCCAGTGCCTCGTCCAGCCGTGCCGGAGAAGGGTCAGGGGGTTTGTCCAGGTCATGACGTCTTAGCTAAAACAACCCTCCTCTGCATGACACTTAGAGCTTTAATATAAATCCTGAGGGTCCTCTAAACCCTCTAAACCGAAATTCATAAGAAGCCCTGCACGCTTCTCACATCACCTGTAAGAGTGAGACTAAAACAGAAGTACAGAGAGAGAGAGAGAGAGAGAGAAGAGGGTTGAGTCTTAACCTGTTAAACTCCCCTGACCGCTCTCTGTGGGAACAACACCTGTCTGAGGTGAAGGTATGCTGTTAGAGCACTGCATGCCACAGATCCAGCATCTGAATCCAAGATTCAAAGACACAACAACACCACAGCGACCCAATTACATTAATCAGAGCCCTGAGCAGGATATACTCAAGCTCAATGCAGCCGTGCGCAGAAATAACTGTGTATCCTTTTATGTTGACTACAGACACATCGCTCGCAGTCAAAAGCCTGGGCACACTTGACTGAATGTGCTTTCATTACTTAAAACATTTTGTTAGCATCTCATTATGCTGGTTGAGAAAATAAGTGTGCAGATCTGGAATCTATAAGAAATATATATATATATGTGACCCTGGACCACAAAACCAGTCATAATTGTCAATTTTTCAAAATTGAGATTTATACATCATAAGAAAGATGAATAAATAAGCTTCCCGTTCATGTATGGTTTGTTATGATAAGACAATATTTGGCCGAGATACAACTATTTGAAAATCTGGAATCTGAGCGTGCAAAAAAATCTAAATATTGAGAAAATCATCTTTAAAGTTGTTCAAATGAAGTTCTTAGCAATGCATATTACTAATCAAAAATTAAGTTTTGATATATTTACAGTAGGAAATTTACAAAATATCTTCATGGAACATGATCTTTACTTAATATCCTAATGATTTTTGGCATAAAAGAAAAATCTATAATTTTGACCCATACAATGTATTGTTGGCTATTGCTACAAATATCCCCCAGCGACTTAACACTGCTTTTGTGCTGCAGGGTCACATATATATATATATATATTATAAAAGTTTGGGATCAGTAAGCATTTTTTATGTTTTTTAAAGAAGTATCTTATGCTAATCAGGGCTGCATTTATTTGATCAAAAATACAGAAAAAAAATTTAAAATTGTGAAATATTGCAATTTAAAATAACTTGTTTTATATTTTAATATACTTTAAAATGTAACAATAAAGTGATAATAAAAGACTTATATTGTTAGAAAAGATTTCTAATTTTGAATAAATGCTGTTCTTTTGGACTTTCTACTCATCAAAGAATCCTGAAAAAAGTGTCACAGGTTCCAAAAAAATATTATGCAGCAAAAACTGTTTCCAGCATTGATAATAAATCAGCATATTAGAATGATTTCTGAAGATCATGTGACACTGAAGAATGGAGTAATGATGCTGAAAATACAGCTGCGCATCACATAAATAAATTACAATTTAAAGTACATTAAAATAGAACACTGTTATTTCAATTGTAATAATATTTTACAATATTATTTTTTTCTGTATTTTTGATCAAATAAATGCAGGCTTGATGAGCAGAAGAGACTTCTTTAAAAAGTAATACAAATCTTACTGATCCCAAACTTTTGAACATCAGTATATATATATATATATTGCATATTAGTTCTGTCAAACAATTAATCATGATTAATCGCATCCAAAACATCCAACACATGCATGTATATATTTAAGAAAAATATGTTACGTTTATATATTATATAAATATATACATGCAAGTACATGTAAATATTTTCAAAATATATACTGTATGTGTGTCAGGGTTTGGGTAGAGGATGGAGCGAGGACTCAGTACTGCAGAGAAAGGGCTTTTATTGATAATAAAAATAAACAAAACCGCAACAAATACTACCCCGTGGGGGAAAAACAGGCTGGCAAGGCAAGGCAAGGCAAGGCAGGATCTGGACACGACACGACAAATCCAGGGAGAGGACTGCAAACACAAGGAGAATAAATGGAGAGCAAATGAGGGTAACGAGGGACCATATGTGGGGCAAATTAACTAATAATCAGGTAACAAGATGGGAGGGGTCAAGACAATTGACATGAGCACATGGCACACCGAATCAAAGACAAAAAGCCATGTGCTCACACAAAACAAAACACAAGCACATGGCCAGCAAAACAAATCACAAGCCATGTGCTAGAACAAGAGACACGAACACGCAGCTAATGAGAAAACTCATAAGCCACGTGTTCACACAAGACAACAAGAAAAGCACGCGGCTGAACACAAACCGCGTGCTTCACAAAACACAACACACGTGGACAGAAGAGCGCACGGCCGAGCGAACTCGAGACCGCACGCTCCCACAACAGACAGAACATGGAGCGCGAGTGTCCGGACCCCGACAACCGCTGCAGCCTCTCCGGCCATCACTGGGGGCGCTGCAGCTTCTTCGGCTGAACACATGCACAAACCGCATGCTACACAAAACACAACACATGTGTACAGAAGAGCGCACGGCCGAGCGAACTCAAGACCGCACGCTCCCACAACAGACAGAACATGGAGCGCGAGTGTCCGGACCCCGACACGTAACCGAAACTCAAGACATGAGTGCCGGGATCTGAACACCACGCTCCAACATGAAACAGTACACGCAGACGAGAGCGCACGGCTCGAGCACACTCGAAGCCGCACGCTCACATGAAAACAATGACATGACGCGAGTGTCAGGGCTCTGTCACAAAACCATGAATTACACTAGACCGAAGTGACAGAACCCTGACACTAGCCCCCCTCAAAAGGGACGCCACCTGGTGTCCCTAACGAGGCACAACAAAAACAAGACAGGAACATGACATACATATATTATGTAAACAACAACTTTTATTTTGGATGCGATTAATCGTTTGACAGCACTAATATATATATATATATATATATATATATATATATATATATATATATATATATATATATATATAGTTTGAGTTTGTTTAATATTTTAATCATAATTCCCATAATTCCATTTTCATTTCACAGTTTAATGACTTTACTATTATTAGTCAGCCAGTGATTATATGAGTAGCATTCAAAAGTTCATGAAGGAACAAACACAATAATCAGGATTGGAGATGCTCTCAGGTGGCAGGAATGTGCATGTGCTCATGTAATGCAGACAAGCTTGTCTGCAGGCTGACGTTACCATTTCCAGCACTATCATAGAGACTAATGTGTCATTTTACCTGACACGAGTACAACAATTACAATCCTGTCTATTACCTCCACTCAGCCCGTGCTAAATATATTACAAGTGCAAAATTGATAAGGTTTGTCAAGTCTTGGTTGGTGACCCAAATCAAAGGAGATATTCTGGTCAATTCAATGTAAGTCTACTGCATTTTTGGGATTTATTTATTTTAAAACTAAAAGTCAAAACGTAGAAAGGAAAAGTGGCCACACTTTACAATACGTTTCCATTTAACTGCATTAGTTAACATGAAGTATCAATTAAAAATGAGCATTTTTAATCTTAATGTTTCACCATATGCTAACACATTATTAAAATCAATCAAAACTTATTTAATGGACTTGAGCTAACATGAACTAACAATGAATAGCTATATTCTTGTCAACTAACATTACCAGAGATTAATAAATAACAAATAATAATAAAACAATGTAATAAACAATAAAACACAAAAAAGTAACACATGTATTTATCATTGTTTATTAATGCATTATTAACAATAACTAATGGGTCCTTATTGTAAAAATAATAGCACACCAATTTAAAGTATCAGTCTGTGGCACAAATGAATGGGACATCTTGATGTATGTTAATAGTTAGGAGCAAGAGAGATGTTGCCTTATAGCGAGAACCACTTAAAGGGACAGTTCACCCAAAAATGAAAATGTGCTGTTAATTCACTCACCATCAGGCCAGCCAAGATACAGGTGACTTGTTTTCTTCAGTAAAGATTTTTAGCAGAAACAGTGCTTGTTGATGATTCATAAAATGCAAGTCAGTGGCTGCCCGTTTTTGAGAATAAAAATAAAAAGCATATCAAGGAACACAAAATTGATTAACACCCGAGGCTCCTGACGATATATTGAGGTCTTATGAAGCAAAACAATCAGTCTGTGCAAGAAACGGAAAATTATTTACAACATTATCTGCACCCACCAAGCCCCACGGTTGGGCACGCATGTGATTCGCAGATGAATTGTTACATTTAACCACCATAGAGTGAAAGTCCATCATTTGCACGCGTTTTGTCTGCCAATTCTGTGTGCAGAGCTCGCAGGCGCTTTTACCTTTGGGAGTGGCCAGTCAAAAGAAATATAGTGCGGATTTGGCACAATACAAAAATCATGGAGTTACATAAACACTAGGTGGTAGTCAGTGTTGGTCTACAATCCTAATCTGAAAGCATCTGCTCTGCTCCGTACAGCCAGGGTTGCCAGATCTGCGTTACAAAATTAGCCAAATGGCCATCAAACACAGCCCAAAGTAACGCAGTAACCATAACCCAAATATCAAAACTCAAAATATGTCATTTCCATACCTAAAGCACATAATTTACAGTGTTTGCAGTTTTTATTTTAAATTAATTCGCAGAGCAATGGTCAATGAGATCACACATTTGCTCTATGTGCACTGAAAAAAAATTATTAACTGAATTTACGAATTTTTTTTAATGTAAATTGTTAATTTACATTTAAATAAACAAATTTAGTTGACTAATTTTCAACATTTTTTTTTATTTAAATGTAGCTAAAATTAATTGTTTGCCACCACTTACCTTAAAAAAAATGTAGTATGATTTCTTTCAGTGTGGAATCATGCCTATGAAGCCAAGCGTTGAAAATTGGCTATGTAACTTCTCCTATATAATCACTGCACCTCCAGCTACTGCATTTGCATGCAAAATGACTAATATATAAATACCATACTGTGATTAAAAGCAGTGAGCTCATATATCTGTCTCAGTGCATTCTGCCCAAGTATAGCAGCACACATACACACACACACACACACACACACACACAGAGCCCGTTCTGCAGCTGTCACTAGC